AAAGAGTAAGAATATAAAACTAATCCAATGCCATACAAAGTGATGTCCCATTTACTGCAATGGACTCTCCCATCATCTTCAATGTATTTTTTAAAAATCATTTTCATCACAGGTAAGACAATAAAGCCACTAAGATGCAAGGGGTTACAGAGTGTGAAAGAATATGAAAAAAATAAAAACATTATTAACCTTTATCAATCTGTATGTGACTTCATTTGCTGTACAAAAGTTTATCCTGCAACTGAAGATGGCTGATCCCTGAACAACAGTCTGTTTGAATTTCATAGTTGTGTTGTCTTATCCTGCTATGGCAACAGAAAATAACTGAGTGCAATTAACAAAAAGGATACTGCAATTGAGATTTTGAAAAAGAATGCAGTAGAAAGGTTTGGTTTATTTTACAACATATCAACCTCAATGGGTTATTTAATGCCAACAAAATTTTTTCCAAAAATATATTGCTGGTAATATTTTTCTTCCAAAAAGTATAGCTGGTAATATTTTTTTTTTTCAAAAATGTATTGCTGGTAATAATTTTTCTTTTACAAAAAATTATTTCATTATTAAAACTTATTTTTACACTTTCATAGTTTTGACCATAGTTTGGGGGTTAGCTATTTACCCATAACTGGGACCCTGACAGGTGCTACACCACCCCAGGTCAGGGTGGACCTGGGAACACCAACAATTAAGAGGTGGTCCCACACTCCTCAAAACCTCCTGATCAGAGGCCTTGCTGTTGGACATAGTTTATTGTCTTACCCAGGATGCAGATGTAGTTTACCATCATACCCAGGATGGGCAGTAGAAAGGGAAGTAATATTAATAATGCAAAGTGCTTAAGGTCAATGAGAGAGATTAATAAAAGAACAGGAATTAAAAAAAGACAGAAGATGATGATTGATATTGAATTTAAATTTTTGAAGATCAAAAGCAATAAAGCCACTAGGACACAAGGGGTTACTGAGTGTTAGAGAATATGAGAAAAACTACTATTAATGAGAGAAAACAAGAACTGGAATGACAAAAGATGATGATTGATATTGCATTTATATTTTTGAAAATCAAAGTTAACTGGAAAGCAAAAAGTTACAGTTACATCAAGCTATTCCAACCGTAAGGAGGAGACCTTGCTGCTAATCTAATAATGTGCTTAAATTCATAGTCTTGATAGCATAGAGGAAAGAAATATTTATTTTGAAAAAGACAAAAATGTGGCACAAGGCCAAAATGGCGGATAGGGCAAAGCTAGTCTTCAATCTGTCTTCTCTCAAATTTAGCTAGCCATGATTATTGACCCAAACATACCACAGTATTCCTTACACTAAAACAACACATTCTTATCATACTTACTACAGTCACCATAATACCTCAGAGTCTCTATGTAGCCCTAACTAGTTTCCATATGTACTATTTGTCTGTGGGAGGTAGAGAATAAAAATAACAACATTTAAAAATGAAATTATAGAGAAATGTTCATCAGGACAATTACCATAAAAGCATTTATAGAACAATCATGTTGGAAAAGTGATTGAAGCTGAGATGCCAGGTCCCAAAATACTGCAGATTCCTTGGATTTTTATCAAGAATTTGTAAATATATAGCATAGCACCAAACTAGATATGGCAGCAATACTCAATGCATGGACAAATGGTATGAGGATCCAATAATTCAGCTCCAAGAACTGAAGAATTAGACTACCCCACATATATGATTAGATTATAATGGTGAATGCTTGTGCAGAAACCATTCACACTTTTCAGAAGAACTGAATTTTTTTTTTAAGCAATTCACCCCAAGCAAGGCGGAAGTGCCACTAGCACACAAGGGGTTACACAGGATTGAGAACAAGAGTAAAGAGGCATGTTTGGGGAAAGGATACAGAGAAGGATGGGGAACAAGCTCAGGGTGTCAGATGTCGATTGACATTACACTTGAATATTTGAAGATTATAGTCATTGGGGAAGCAAGTAAGGGGAAGGGAGTTCCACAGATGGGAAGTGGAGGAGAAGAAGCTGGTTGAGTAGAAGAGACGGTTATACTTAATCATTTTGGCAATGAAAGGGTGGGACCGAGATGCCAGCCTGGTAGCTTGCTTAAATTCATGCAGTCTGGGAACCAGTGAAAGTACAGAGAACTCATGCACAGTGTGCTACAAGGTTGCCAAATAGTTCTCAGGTCTTAAATTCAGAATTATCCTTCTAGAATGGTTGCCAATCAAGGCTAACATCCCAGTCTTCTCTACTATTTAATTCATAAATGAAGAGGTGGATTTATGCTTTGCAAGGGTCTTTGTGCGTAAGTGAATGTAATGAACTAGAATTTGAACTTGGCTCTCCAATTTTGAAGCTACTATCCAATCTAGTACACCACCAACATATTCACATTTAGTGTATGCAAATGTAATTGCTATTTTAGGACATAGGTTGGTTGCATGTAAGTTGACAACAATGTGGCAGAGAGCATAGGTGCCTGGCTGGACTTGAAGACCATGTTTATGTTGTGCACTTTGGAAAGCGTAAGATGGTGTAATGTCAAGTGTTGACTATAATCTGAACCTAGATAGCAACTTATATCAGAATTTGGTATATTTGCTGGATGAATAGTGATCAATGTCCAAGAGAGGCTTTACAGATACAGGCAGTACAGTATGACATGATGACTGTCAATTTCATGATTTAATGTGATCTTCAGACTTGGTTTTAAGATAACATTAAGGAATCAAAACTGATAGGAGACTATATCCACATTGTGTGTGTGTGTAGAGGGGACACACCAGAGAGTACATTTTCTTTTAGCTTTTTCGAGTATGTAGGCTGTTAGATAAAATACTGTTTAAAATAAACAGCATTTATTCAAGTACAGGTAACCACTAAAAATAACACACACACATTTTATATTTATATATATATATATATAATAAAATTTTCTCTTATACTTTATAATAATTTATACTTTGTAGCAATATATTGCACATTGATGACAAACTGTTTACTCTGACATCCAGTGTATGTTCTATGCGTGTAGGTGGCATTTGGTAGAAGTAGTACCTTTGTTACTCGGTTGCTGCTTTTATTATTAAGATGGACGGGCAACACTGGTCTTCACCCATCCCTTAAATCTCCATGCATCAAACCCTGTAAACTGATTCAGCAGGCAGGCTAAATCATGTGAAATTACCTTTGAAAGGTGTTGCACTCTTCTGTGCACAGGTAATATCTGAGAGGTATAACTCCGTGATAATAAAACTGGAGGGGGTGTTGTTCATTGTGTTCGTGGCAAATATTTGCACCAACTCCATGTTATTAACACTTCCAATAAGTGTAGCTGGTTCTACACAAGCCTTCACCATTCTAAATAAATCTTTTGTGTGGATAGTCTGAAGTTCAGTTCTGTGTTCCTTCTTTGCTATTCCACCTGAGCAACAAGTCCCCTGGCGAGGGAGTTAAGGCGACGGGGACAGGTACAGGATTAAAACCTGAAATGAAAGACACTCATACATTGAAAATTATGGGAGAGTCTATCATATACACACACTTTAAAAATCAGGAGATCAGATGAATCTGCTTCTTTAGTTTCAACATACAACATTATATCCTCAGGTGATCACCTGAGGATACTGTAAGGTTGAAACGAAGATAGCGGATTCAACTGATCTGATTTTAAAGTTAAAAGCTCCAGATGTTATTTTCACTTTTATTTTTCACATGTGCATTGAGCACTTTTTAATATTACTGTTTCTTGGTCTGATTCAACTTTGACCATAACCCATATATATATATATATATGATAAAAAAATAGCTTTAAGGTATGTTACATTTATGGGTAAAATATCAGGGATAGAGCATGTATAAATATAAAGTGGTCATTATATATATATATATATATATATATATATATATTTTCCACACCAAGTGAGTACTTTCAAATGTTGCTGCATTTGTTTTTAAGGATTGTTTTGTATATGATTATGTAATTGTTTTTTGGTTAATTCTGGCTTTCCATTGTTTACTGAAACCATTTTCAAGTCACTCAAGGTGATGCCATTTAAACGGTCAAACTGGATTTTTTGTATGTGTATTTTAATTTTTTTTTTATACAAGAGAAGCAGAAAATCTTCATAGTATTTGTGTATTTGAGATTTGACATATTCACAATAATAGTTCAAGACTGGGTGAAAATTGCAAACAGAACTTTAGCATCATAAATCTGATAATGGGACAGGTAAGATTTAATCAAACACACACAAAAAAAACCAAAAAAAAAACCAAAAAAAAAAAAAAAAAAAAAAAAAAAAAAGAAGCAAAAACATGAAATAAAATGACAACCCCCAACATAAAAAAATAATATATATATGTGTGTGTGTGTGTGTATATATATATAAAACGAGAAATAAAAAACACAGAAAAATTAAGGCCCCCCCCAACTCCCTGAAAAAAAAAAAAAAAAAAAACAAATAGAAAAGAAAAGTGGAAAATGTTATCACCAGACTTTACATGAGAGTCTGTCTCCTGAAAAAGGCAAGGAATGCAAATACTTCAAACAAAATAGATTTTTTTTAATTGTTTTTCTCTCAAGAGGCAGCTTGTTATCCTCAGATAACTTTTCATATTTACACCACTTTACACTTAACCCCCCCACCCCAAAAAAAACCCCCTCAAATCTCAAAATATGTCAAGGCAGGTTAAGGGGATATAAGATGGGGGAAAACATTAGTAAATAGTGATGAGACTACACGGCAAGGCGTCAAGTTGTCTCTTGAAAAAAAAAAAAAAAAACATAATCAAGTTCTAGGGTTAACATATTTAACATGTTAAAGAAACATATGCAATGGCAAAAATATATATCTAACGAATGAAGTAAATTACCAATTCTACAGATCTTGCTTAACTGAAATCCCAGAATCTAATTCTCATAATATTAAAATAATATTAAAAACGTTCCATTCTGTTTAGACACATACAAATACAAGACTTAATTTTTTTTTTGTTTTTGTTAAGGCTAACTGCTTCAAATGAATATAACACTCTCCCTAACATTGAACAAGAAGAGCAAAGAGAAGGGCAAAGAGTTGCTACAAAGAGAAGGGCAAAGAGTTGCTACAAAGAGAAGGGCAAAGAGTTGCTACAAAGAGAAGGGCAAAGAGTTGCTACAAAGAGAAGGGCAAAGAGTTGCTACAAAGAGAAGGGCAAAGAGTTGCTACAAAGAAGAAGGGCAAAGAGTTGCTACAAAGAGAAGAGCAAAGAGTTGAGAAGGGCAAAGAGTTGCTACAAAGAGAAGGGCAAAAGAGTTGCTACAAAGAAGGCAAGAGTTGCAAAAGAGAAGGGCAAAGAGTTGCTACAAAGAGAAGAGTTGTTAGAGAAGGGCAAAGAGTTGCTACAAAGAGAAGGGCAAAGAGTTACAAAGAGAAGTTGCTACAAAGAGAAGGGCAAAGAGTTGCTACAAAGAGAAGGGCAAAGAGTTGCTACAAAGAGAAGGGCAAAGAGTTGCTACAAAGAGAAGAGCAAAGAGTTGCTACAAAGAGAAGAGCAAAGAGTTGCTACAAAGAGAAGGGCAAAGAGTTGCTACAAAGAGAAGGGCAAAGAGTTGCTACAAAGAGAAGGGCAAAGAGTTGCTACAAAGAGAAGAGCAAAGAGTTGCTACAAAGAGAAGGGCAAAGAGTTGCTACAAAGAGAAGAGCAAAGAGTTGCTACAAAGAGAAGGGCAAAGAGTTGCTACAAAGTGTCATGAACAATCAAAAGTGAAGAAATACATTTGAAAGAACAGCCACAGGTTTTAATTATAATTTGACAACCATCTTTTTTGTCTATTAGTTTACTTACCATTGAAGAGACTCAAATTGACAGAGATGTGATTCTACAGAGCAATGCTGCGAATACCATAGATAAAACATGTTACCAATGAGGAAGCACTAAACAAAACGGGAGCTACAAGGACACTTACAAATTGACATTATTTGTCACCACCCTTTAGTAACTTTTTACTACATTATAAAGTTAGTTTATGAACCAGTAACAGGTTTTTACCAAACAATTTTGATATGATTTTGAATATTTAATATAGATATGGGCAGTGGAAAATTGAAAGTAGGTGATAATGCAAAAAAGTTTGGGAACCTGGCTTAGTGCAACAAGAGGCAGGAAGTTGTAGAGAGCCATGATTGTCCATGTCCTGAATAGATAAGTCACATAAAAGAAGAAGTGAATGAATGGCACAACAGAAGCAAAGAAAAATGGTAAAAAGTCAAACATTGCTTAGTGAAACAAGAGGCAGGAAGTTGTGGAGAACCACGGTTATCCAGTATAGCTAAAGATACAGCCACTATATTTTCTTTAGTTATTAACGCCCATTTTTTTTTGCAAGTTGGTACTTGAAAATTCCCAAAAAGGAAAAGTACAATGCAAAACAAAATCCTCATTCTGTGTCACTCTGGTTACTAAAATTGAACCTTCTTGTTTTGCTATACTTGAAAATTTTCAAGCTATAAACTGAAGTTATAACCAATCCACCCACCCTCATAACATTATGATGTTTCTGGCCACCAGGGAATGAAGTCTTACAAAAATAATTTTGTTATATTTACATTGGTAGTACAATAGCCTCCAGGGGTACATGTAAATATTCACAAATTCATAAGGTAATCTTCCAAAGATTTACTAATAAATGAACATACATGATGACAAAATGCCATAAACTTAATGAAAACAAAGTCTTTGTGTTATTAACAGAAAAGATCAAAGGATTTTTTGAATGTATTTTTTTTTAAATCCTTACAATTTTTGAAATTTGGGTTAAAAATCTTGTTTTTCTAGCATTAAAACAGGACCATAAATTTGTACAGGAAATTTGAGTTTTTTTTTTGGGGGGCACTGATTTGAAAATTCTTCTAAAAATCAAATAATTGGTGAATTTTATTCACAAATGAAATTAGATTTTCAATCTTGGTCATATTATATATATTAATCTCAAATGTAATGTCAATCGACATCTCCAGATGGCTTGATCTATCCCCTATCCTTCTCTTCATCCTTTCCTCTATCACTCCTCTTTGCCCTCGCTCCAACTCTCTGTAACCCCTTTGCGTGTTAGTGGCTTCCTGCATTGATTGGGGTGAAACGCTTGAAAAGAAAAAAAAAAAAAAATAAATAAATATATATATATATATATATATATATCTCCAGGCAATACGAGAATGAGTACAATTCTAACGTTTATTTGTAATATTTAATTTAAAAACAGGCTCAATACAAAATAGAGCAATATCATTTATTTTAGGATATTACACAGAAAACATGTCAAAATCGCTACACAATTGCAGTCATGTTTCAATTGAAATACAGCAAAGTATTTTGCTTATTGGAAATATTAAATTTATTCTGTTAGCTTGGAATTAGAACTAAAATAAAAACTTCAAGGAAGGTTACATTTTTTTTAAATATATTTTAAACCCTAGATAATGCATTTTTTGGTGATACCTAGTATTATTAATGTTTATTGTTGAAATCAAAATATAGGAGTGATAAATTTACAATGCAACTCAAAAGAGTTTGCAAATACTAATATTTTACATTTTCTCTAATATGGACAATAGTTGAATATTTTAATTCCTTACTGTTTGCCCAAATCCCAAACATTACATCTTAGAATAAATTATGAAAATTAGCTTTATTATTGATTTTTTTTTTATTAATTAACTGAAAAAGTTTTTGCAAACTTTAATATCAATGCAAAAAATTGGTTCTGTTCAAATCAATTGTACAAAATAATGAAAAGGTGTATTATGTATTATATACTAATGAAAGTTGGTATGGCTTTGTTTAGATATCAATGTATGAATGATCATCATTCTTAAGAATCTCAATAAGTCGTTTATCGACTGATGAAGCGAGTTTCCTAACTTTGCTGGCTGTAATTTTAGAACAAACATCTAAAATGCACTTCCACAGGTGATCCTTGTTAGAAAATTGCTATGTATTTTCATAAACTTGACACTTTACCATGGCCCCAAAATTCTCAATAGGGTTAAAAATCAGGAGACTGTGGTGGCCATACCATAATCTTTTCCCCTGTAAAAACCTTCATTTGCCAATCACACTTTGGTGAAGCACACTGCATAACTGGGGGCATTATCTTGCTGATAGATTACTACGGAACTCATCATTTTGTGAATTCAACCAGGGTATGACATTTCCTTTTAAAAATTGGCAATAATTAGCTGAATTCAGTTTGAGTCCTTCTGGCACAAGAACTGGTCTAATTAATGTCAAGCCACAAATTCCAGCCCAGAACATCATTCCACAACCGCCTTGTTGGCGTTTAAAATGCAAGTGAAGAGATCCAACATGAATGAGCCAACCTCTTTTCCAACCATCGGGACCATCTAATGTAGCTTGGGCTTCATCCATCCAAATTACTCTTTGGAAATCAATTTTTAAGTAATTGTTTGCCCATTCTAACCTCTTCGGGCGATTCATTTCACTCAATATTCGAGAACGTTGTTTTCAATGCCATCTTGCTTAAAAATCTTTTTGCTGGTGCTGTGAGAGTTCTCTTTGAGTGCTCTTTTAATTTTTCTTAAATCACTCTTGTTAACTGCACGTGGGTGACCACCCGTGTTTCTTGTGCTCAACTTTACCTTCAATGACATATTGCTTCACTGTGCGATGATCTTGATTAATTATTTTTGCTATTTCCAGTGTGGTTTTATCATTTGAGAGTAATTTTGATATTTTGGCTTTTTCACCAGCAGTAAGCATCTTCCCACGAACCATTATTTTAAAATTTATGATTTCTGCAAACATTTTTGATTCACCTGAAATATATAGAGATCATTAAATAAATAATATGGAGATTTTCGTTAATTAAACCTTTATGTCACACTGGATATGTCATTTTAAATTAAATATATTTATTACAACACAAGCCATTACAATTGTTTCAATATGTATATTCTAGAAATGTGATAGGTGCAAACACTTTTGAGTTGCATTGTAAAGTCAGTTTTGGAAGGTGCTTTTTAAGATCTTATCCAAAAGTCCATGATAATGATTATTTCAAATAAGTCACTATTCAATAAATACAGTTCAAAATCATCTTTTATTGGGTTGAAAAACTATTTAAGCTTTCTGCAAAAGAGGAGGAGAGAGAGGGAGAACAGGAGAGAGGGAGAAAGAGGGAGGGAGAGGAGAAAGAGAGAGGGAGGAGAGGGAGAGAAAGAGGGCAAGAGGGAGAGAGAGAGAGAAGGAGAGGAGAGGGAGAGAGGGAGCGAGGGAGTGAGAGAGAGAGAACGGAGACAGAGGGAGGGAGAGAGAGAACGGAGGAGAGAGAGAGAGAGAGAGAGAACGGAGGAGAGAGAGAGGAGAGAGAACGGAGGAGAGAGGAGAGAGAGGAGAGAGAGAGAACGGAGGAGAGAGAGAGAGAACGGAGGAGAGAGAGAGAGAGAGAGGAGAGAACGGAGAGAGAAAGAGAGACGGAGACTGAGAGAGAGAGAGAGAATGAGACGGAGAGAGAGAGAGAACGGAGACTGAGAGAGAGAGAGAACGGAGACTGAGAGAGAGAGAGGGAGACGGAGAGAGAGAGAGAGAGAACGGGAGGAGAGAGAGAGAGAGAGAGAGAGGAGACGGAGGAGAGAGAGAGAGAGAACGGGAGAGAGAGAGAGAGAACGGGAGAGAGAGAGAGAGAGAACGAGACGGAGAGAGAGAGAGAGAGAGAAGAGGGAGAGAACGGAGACGAGAGAGAGAGAGAGAGACGGGAGAGAGAGAGAGAGGAGAGAGAGAGAGAACGAGAGAACGAGACGGAGAGAGAGAGAGAGAGAGAGAGAGACGGAGGAGAGAGAGAGAGAGAGAACGGGAGACGGAGAGAGAGAGAGAGAGAGAGAGAGAGAGAGACGGAGGAGAGAGAGAGAGAGAGAGAACGGGAGACGGAGAGAGAGAGAGAGAGAGGGAAGAGGAGAGAGAGAGAGAGAGAGAACGGGAGGAGGAGAGAGAGAGAGAGAGAGAACGGGAGAGAGAGAGAGAGAGAGAGAACGAGAGGAGAGAGAGAGAGAGAGAGAACGGGAGACGGGAGAGAGAGAGAGAGAACGGAGGAGAGAGAGAGAGAGAGAAACGGGAGACGGAGAGAGAGAGAGAGAAACGGGAGACGGAGGAGAGAGAGAGAGAGAACGGGAGACGGAGGAGAGAGAGAGAGAGAGAGAACGGGAGACGGACGGAGAGAGAGAGAGAGAGAGAACGGGAGACGGAGAGGAGAGAGAGAAGAGAACGGAGACGGAGAGAGAGAGAGAGAGAGAACGGGAGACGGAGAGAGAGAGAGAGAGAACGGGAGACGGAGAGAGAGAGAGAGAGAGAACGGGAGACGGAGGAGAGAGAGAGAGAACGGGAGAGACGGAGGGAGGGAGAGAGAGAACGGGAGACGGAGGGAGAGAGAGAACGGGAGAGAGAGAGAGAGAACGGGAGGAGAGAGAGAGAGAGAACGGGAGAGAGAGAGAGAGAGAACGGAGGAGAGAGAGAGAGAACGGGGAGACGAGAGGGAGAGAGAGAGAGAGAGAACGAGAGAGAGAGGAGAGAGAGGGAAGAGAGAGAGAACGGGAGAGAGAGAGGAGAGAGAGAACGGAGAGAACGGAGGAGAGAGAGAGAGAGAGAACGGGAGAGAGAGAGGGAGAACGGAGAGAGAGAGGAGAGACGGAGGGAGAGAGAGAAGAGAACGGAGACGGAGGGAGGGAGAGAGAGAGAACGGGAGACGGAGGGAGGGGAAGAGAGAACGGGAGACGGAGGGAGGGAAAGAACGGGAGACGGAGGGAGTGGGAAAGAGAACGGGAGACGGAGGGAGTGGGAAAGAGAACGGGAGACGGAGGGAGTGGGAAAGAGAACGGGAGACGGAGGGAGTGGGAAAGAGAACGGGAGACGGAGGGAGGGAGAGAACGGGAGACGGAGGGAGGGAAAGAGAACGGGAGAGACGGAGGGAGGGAAGAGAACGGGAGACGGAGGGAGGGGAAAGAGAACGGGAGACGGAGGGAGAGGAAAGAGAACGGGAGAGACGGAGGGGAAAGAGAACGGAGACGGAGGGAGGGGAAGAAGGGAGACGGAGACGGAGGGAGGGAGGGAAAGAGAACGGGAGACGGAGGGAGTGGGAAAGAGAACGGGAGACGGAGGGAGTGGGAAAGAGAACGGGAGACGGAGGGAGTGGGAAAGAGAACGGGAGACGGAGGGGGAAAGAGGGAAAGAGAAAAGGAAAAAGACGGGGAGGGAGGGGAAAGAGAACGGGAGACGGAGGGAGTGGGAAAGAGAACGGGAGACGGAGGGAGTGGGAAAGAGAACGGGAGACGGAGGGAGTGGGAAAGAGACAGAGTGAGGAATGGAGACAGAGCGAGAGGGATTTACAAAATCTCAGATGGTCAGGCAGAATATGACTAAATTCTGACATTTTTTCTAATGTGTTTATTGATTACGATGAATCATAAAAACAGATCAGAGAGGCTGATTAAAATTGACAAGCTCGAGCCATATACATTTAATTAACATCCAATTAGCTAAATCCAGCCAACTGAGTAATTAAGTCAACAATTAGTCACAATGTATTAAACACTATCAAGCAACCTCTTCCTCTTCTTCCTTTAATCACATACACTAGATATTTACGACTATGTTAACTTTTACATCTGTTCTTTCAATATCGACATACACTAGTTTTATTTATAGATTATGTGGAGTGGGTGCTGAAATGTTCTTGTCCCAACAAAGGAACTCCAAAATCAATTCTGAAGTTCCATCAATTATTGAGAACTATTCAACCCCACAGAATATTTATAGGATTATAGTGGACACAAAATGGGGGATCAGTTTTCTGTTCTTATTAAGTAATAAACTGATCACCCCAAGAATTACTATATGTAACAATATCAACCTGTCCAAGAAGCCCAGCCAAAGCAAAATTCAATGGGTTGGGTGGAGAACTATTCAGCAATTCTTCGGAGCATTTATATGATTATACTGGACATAAAGTGGGGGATTCTGATGTTTGGCCAATTAGATTTTAGGAAGTGGGTTGGGCTGAGAACTTTCAGGTGGCACCTTGTAACTATATCCTATTTGATAAGATTAAAAAAGAAAAAAGTCTTTGTACGTTAGAACTCCTGGAAATTACAGAAAAAAAAAATCAAAAAAATCTGCAATTCTTTGTAAAAGCTACAAATATAGGCATTGACCAAGTTTATGAATCAGACAAACATAGCTTTCCACAACTTTCTTTAACATCAATAAATTTGGTGAAATGCTAAAAAGGGTGTAAGTTCACATTTTGTGAAATAGGGAGAGAGAAAAAAAACACTTTACAAGATAAAAATTCAGAATAAAAACCCAAAATGAATTTATTTCTAAAATTATTACAGGGCCTAGCGTCACAAAAATCTATCAAAATATTATCCATGTTTTCTTATTGAGATCAATTTGTTCATTTCAAAAATGGCAAAATATGAAGAAAAAATATGAAGCTCATGTCAACTTTTGATCTTTTAGATTCACACCAACAAATGGTTCATTGTTATGATTGTTTTGGGGGAAAAGTAGTGGAGTGGTTTCTCATTGTCTTTTAGTTTTAAATGTAAAGTTTTCCTTCTTCTAGATTAGTTGCCCAAACTTTTCTATGGAGCCTGCATTAAGATAGATGGGGAGAAAGAAATTGATTCATACCCTTCATGCAAAAGGAAACAACAGCTTCAGACAAAATTTGAATTCATCTGTCTTTAATGTTGATAACCACTATTCCACCCTCACATTCAAGCTTGTTTTACAGATCAACTATGATTGTACTGAGTGAGTTTCTCTGGCCTTATTTTCTTAGCCTTGTACCAGAAAAAGGCTAAGTATTTGGTGTGTTTGTTATCATAGGTGAATAAGCTAGACTCAAAATATTATTACTGAACCGAGTTGGGTCCTCAGTGATAAACTTGTGGAAACTACTTAAATTTAGTGGTCCACTTGTAAACAAAACAAAAAAAATGATATAGTAGAAATTTTTTTTTTGGGGGGGACTTTTCTGAAGATTGGCATTCACTCAATAGAGTTTCCTTAAACTACAGTATATCATTTAATTTTTTTTTTTTTTTTTTTAAATCAATTTACAAGTGGGAATCCTGTTCATAAAATAGTGTCAAATCAATTTTTTCTAAAAATGATTTTTTTCTCTTTTGCCTTTCATTTTTTTTTTTATTTTTACACTTTTTCTTTCCTTCACTCTCTACCTCTTCATCTTTTTAAAGTCTCTCATTCTCTACCTCTTCATCTTTTTAAAGTCTCTCATTCTCTACCTCTTCATCTTTTTAAAGTCTCTCATTCTCTACCTCTTCATCTTTTTAAAGTCTCTCATTCTCTATCGCTTTATCTTCATTTTTTTCAAAGTTTCTCTCTCTACTTTTTTCTCTTTACTTCTTGAAAAAAATAAAAAAAATAATTAATATTTTTCCAATCCTGACAAATGTTATGGTTTGAAAAAGGTCTAATCTACTGAACACCAATCTATAAAAATATCTTTTAATGAGAGGGGCAGTCAGTTTAAGTAAAACCATTTCTCTATTTTTTTCTGTTAATGAGCGGACCAGACAATTAAACTAGTGCCATAACTGAGCAATTCAATATCACCTGATCTTGAGATTTGACATTAACAAAACAATTTCAAACCAAATAATTATTTTCTTATTGAAAGTAATTCTCATTTTTTTTTTTTTTGCCAAGTTTAAGCCTAACATCTTAAAGCTTTTAACTGCAGATGATAGAAAACAATTCAATCATTGTTGTTTTTATGATTCAAGTAGGAATGACAAATTTCCATCAGTCACACATATCTAACTATAACTCAGTACAAATGACAAAAACTTCTGTTTGATTATGTTTAATGGAAATTTAGTTCTATCTAAGGGCATCAAATACGCATAACTTCTTCCAACCAATCACAACCCAGAAATCTATTTACTGCAGAATTTCAAATTTGTTCTCCTGCTTCAAAATGATGAACTGGGTCAATGAAGAACTTTTGTAAATATCATTATGAAAAACGAAGAATAGGTTTATCATCTGACATTTAAGAATTTAATAACGATATCACAATTTATGGCTTATTGGATAATGAACAAACACACCAAGCACTTCACTAATAGTGTTCAATCATCGAAAGCAAAACGAATATTTTTTTTACTTTTATGAGAATGCTGGATATGAAAATAAAGGAAAACAATTCTGATAGTTTGGAGATTTTTTCTATGTAGATACTTTTTACTTTTACTTTAAAGCATTTCCTCCTGCAAGATAATTATGTTTTTATTAAAAAAAAAAAAATAAAGTGTTTCCCTAATTACTCTGAAAATCATTCACCATATGCATTTTGAACAACTGAGCTGCTCCTGCTGTAGTTACCAGATTAATTTTAATACCTTTTTAAGAAACACATATCTTTTGTTTTGTTTCTTTAAAGCATTTCACCACATGCTCAAATTAATCAATTACTTCTGACAGTGTCCCTAATTTCCAAACTTGAATATTTGTACAAATATTTTTGAAAATATACTGCTTTTCTTTTTTTCTTTTTACTGAATATATTTTTCTTTACATTATACTTTGTTGACAATTGCTTGGTGTACTATATATATATTTAAAGAAAAATATATACGGAAAAAACAAACAAAAATCCTTATATGCAATTATGCTGTTTTAATGTTAATATGTCAACGTCAGACGTTTCGGTCTAATAAGTCATCTTCAGGACATATTCATAAAATATAATTAACATTATCAATTCAACATGACAAAGACGATGGACATAAGAACAAGACTTATCCAAACAGATAACTGAAAGTTTTATAAGATCAGCGTTCCGTTTAAACATGGTCACATTGTTGTCACTGTTCTGAAAGTTTTATAATAACAATATTGCTCTGTATAAATAAAATACATCAAGCTCTCTTGTGGATTAGTTTTAATATTTTTATATTACTAGGATCCACTCGGATTATATACTATGAATTTATTTTACCTTTAATTATATATATATATATATATATATATATATATATATATATATATATATACACACACACATACATACATTTTATTATAGGATATTACATTCAAACGTAGAAAAAAAAACACTACACAAATGCACTCATGTTTCAATGTGTATCAACACATCTCATCAGGCATTAGTAAATCCTAACTAATGCCTGATGTGTTGATACACATTGAAACATGGGCTACTTGTGTAGTGTTTTTTTTTTTATATATATTTCAATGTAATATCCTATAATAAAGAATAATGCTCGACTATTGGATTGTATTGAGCTCTATTTTAAATTAATGTTACGAACATTGGAATTTTTATTTGATTCGTTCTCATTTCATATGGTTATATATGATATAGATAGATACGTAGGGATTGAGAGAAAGAAATATAAGTGTAGGAATTAATGTAGAAGAGACAGAGAAAAGGTAGAAATAAATGGATTGCAATATATATATATATATATATTACATTCAAACATGTATAAAACCACTACATAATGTCAATTTATGTAGCGTTTTTTTTATATGTTTAAATGTAATATCCTATAATAAAGAATATTGCTCTACTATTGGATTGTATTGAGCCCTATTTTAAATTAATGTTTGAATTTATATTCAATTTATCTGCTTAACATTTGCACCAGAAGCTCCAATACGAACATTTCAGAGTGTTTGAGTGTCACTCTGAGGCCAGTGCAATGGATTCGGAGAGAGTTAGAGGAGTCTAATGGTGATTATGAAGGCACAGTAACTCAAAAAACTTACTGATCATTCTGATAATGACTCCTGAATTTGTTGGTGAGATCCAGGCCATGATTGAAAGCAGTCCTTCCAAGTCAATCAGGTCCATAGCCAGCGAGGTAGTGCTATCTTGGGTCAAGAGGGGTGGCTGCTGGATGACCCAGTAGAATCCAGTCATGGCTGTCAGACAATTTCTGTGACGACATCACCTTTACATCTAGCCACTTAACTCCCCAAACTGCAACTCCCTTGATTATCATGTATATGGTGCAGTTTAGGAAGAGACTAACAAAATTCTTTGTAACACCAAAGATGAACTGAAGGCAAGAATTATAGCAGCATTCACCAACTTAAACAAGGAGACTGTCTAGAAGAGTTGCAGGAGATTCCGAAGTTGTTTGGAGGCTGTGGTTTAAACCAATGACAATTACATTAGCTTAAACATTTATTTATTAACTAATAAGGTGTTAGACCTCCATAAGCTTCTAATTATTCTAATAATTTTACCTGAAGATAAATAATGACTTAATTAGTTGGAAAAGCAAGATAAAGAATTAAAGTGTTGAGCAGTTACCTTTCAGGTCGGTTTGATGTTTACAAATACCTGGAAATATCAGAATTGATAAAAATGCT